TCATGGCGACAGGCATGCTGGTTAGCCAGAGGTGCAGGTTGGAATGGTTGTATCACGCCCAATCTGTCACTGTAGGTCGTCTGGACCTGAAAGACGGCTTTTACTGTGTCGCAGCATTGAAGTGGCTCAGAGAGCAACATGAAAATGGTTCTACTGAACTATATTGTTTAGTTATCAAGTGTTACTCTTTACTTTGTTGGTGCTACCGCTAATCATTTAGCTCTTTAAATAATCAAAATAATCTGGATATGAATTTATATAATCTTTGATATTTCTGGTTCTTTTTTGCAATTTTGTGCTTAAAAATGAATTTTGCAATTTATTGAGGTTTTTTGGAGGGAAAGCAAGAAATCCCACTGCTGATGTTGGAGACTTAAGTACTAAAAATCTGATGTATCAAATATGATAGACTAGGCATTGGTAGAGCAGATGGTATATCAGTCAGAAGGTCAGTGGATTGATCCCCGGATCCTGCAGTCCATGTGTCAAAGTCTCTTTTGACAAAATACTTGAACCCCGAGTCTGTGTGTGACTGATTGATTGAGACTTAATCACTCAGCAGGAATCATTTTTAGTGCTCATCTAATTCTAAAAGTAATTCTTTCCTCCCATTTTTACAAAGTGTTTGCCACAGAAGACTTGCTGCATAAAGCAGGTCCCTGATTCAGAAGGATATCTGGGCCTGGGTTAGTTATTTTCTTAGCATGATGGCGCTGTCTTCCAAGTTTTCTTATTTCAGTCTTACAGTGTTATTCAAAACTTCCTGAGTCAAGATTCGACTCTAAAAGACGTCTAAGGTGGGCGAAGTCTCAACTCTGATCAAATTTTCATCCATATCCTTCAGGAAAGACCAGCAGACAAATCAAACAATGACCTCCTTGGTGGAGGTGAAAATTAACGTGATGTCTCTGAACCAGCAGCGTTTATTTTTTCAAACATTGTTTCCTAACATAGCTGTTTGTTAGTGCCAGTAACTCTCATGACGTTTTCCCCTCACAGGTTTAACTGAAGCCATTTTCCAGGACAATTCTCTCCAGTACTTTGCCCAAAGCTCCCTGCTGAGCTCCATAACCAACATCACCATGAACGTACGAACACGGGATGAGAATGGGATCTTGCTGCGTTCTGTCAACACAACCGAGGTCTTCTGCCTGGGCCTGCTCAACTCCAGCCTGCTGGTCAAACTGGACAGCGGGGATGGTGCAGAGCTGCAGGCCTTCACGAGCGACAGGACGATCGCCGATGGGGCATGGCATCACATTCAGCTCACCATGGTGGACCCAACACAGTCAGAATCGCGCTGGCGCCTCACCGTAGATGGACAGAGAGCTGGTGTCAGCTTTGGAACGACTGGCAACCTCAACTTTCTCAATGACACCAAAATCTGGCTGGCAGAAAAATACACAGGATGTTTAGGAGAGGTGAGGCTGGGTGGGGTCTACCTACCACTCGTAAAGGTAGCAGATCCACCTCAGATGAGCCGATTCACCAGAGTGGGTGGCCACGAGCCAAGCATCGGGTGCCGAGGTGCACCTATTTGTGATTCGCAGCCCTGTCTCAACCAGGGTGTGTGTCAGGACCAGTTTAATGAGTTTAACTGCAGCTGC